TACAATTCATGAGTGCTGGTAAGAGAAATCTGAGTATGACTTTGGCAAGAACATCAGAATGAGCATTCCCATGTTTGAAAAACAGTAATTGACAGTTCACACAAATTAACTGTGCTTCTTACATAGAATTAAATCTATGGTGGGGAGAATAACTGCCTGCTCTTTTCAAAACACTCGTCCAGGTCGATTTTCAGCCATAAATCAAAGCTGGCCAGGCCCTGAACTAGAACAAATTGACCTCCTCCACTCCCTTTTCTCCTCCTACCCCCATAAACACTTCTGGCACTTTACCCTTTGCCAACAAATGCAGGCTTCCCAGACACATTTCTCAAAGCCTTGAGAAAGGCTTTCACAAATATATTCTTGTATTGTCACAGAGGGAATTGAGCTGTAACTGGACTGCAGGTCACAATCCAGGCTTCCTGAATCTTTAAAAGGTTTTAGGCTTTAGAAGAAAGAGCAGCACAGTTTGTATTTACACTTGGCTAAATGATAAAGATTATGGGGAAGCCACTAAGCCCCATTATCACACCCAGGTGCACCACACAGCATTTAAAATGAAATAAAAATAATTATCATTTGGGAAAAAAAAACCAACAAACAAGATAGAAATTCTCTCTCCCACAGTCCTGGAAATCATAAGCTAAAATAGCAACTGCCTGGTAGGAAAGAGGGAAATGTCACCAAGAGAACTGCAGGAGGCTACAGCCCAGGTCACTCAGAAGGGGACAGGGCACACAGGACAGCACAGCAATGGCAGCAAATAGGGGAAGAAGAGACAAGGGAAAGGCAGAACGTGGAGCACTCATTGCCAAAGCCATATAGACAGGGTTGAAGCCTTCTTAGTTATCAACAACACTACCAGTGAATAGCAACTTAAACATCCCAAATAACCCCTCTGTAGAGACAAACATTTATGTCCAGGTTTTGTTCAGGTGCTTTTAAAATAGAAAATGAAAACAAAGAAGCAAAAAGCCAGCACGGGCAAACAGATGCTGCACGAAGGCAGATGGATTGCTTCTCCCACCACAGCCAGAGCAGCAACCAGCCCTGGTGAACTCAGCTATGGTGGCATTGCTGGGATGCAGACAGGTGACATTATTTCCTCAGTGTGACTTGAGCAGCGCCAGAGATTCTGTTTCCTGCTGTGATCAGAATGCTGCCCCTCCAGAGGTCTGCACACAGAGCAAACATTTACTAACTCACAATTACACATGATCTGTCTGTGAAGGGAGGGGGGGATGAACAAGCACTGAATTGTTTAAATAATATTGGTGAATCCAGATTTCAGTTACAGGGAATTCACGCGATACCAACTAACTAATATGTCAGCTCCCTCTGATTCTGTGTTCCTGTAGCCTGCCCAGTCATTATACTTAATGGGCCTTAATCAAATTGGCACAGTACCTGAGAAGTAATTGGATTTGGGTGCAATTTTTTAATGATTCTGAGAGGTACCCTGGAGATTGAAATTCTCAGCGTGTTCAGCTGACACAAGGCCCCAGTGTGCTCTGGGTGTGCATCTCTGGCTGCCACGGCCCTGATAAGTTAAATGTGCCAGGTCACAGAATCACAGAATGGCCAGGGTTGGATGGGACCTCAAGGCTCATGAATCTCCAACCCCCTGCCACGTGTAGGGCCACCAACCTCCACGTTTAACGCTAAACCAGGTCTCTGGTGCTGAGGCCAGCTGGCACAGAAGAATTCATAGCCACTGTTACAGACTTCCTTACCTTCCAAAACAGGGTGACTACATCCAAACCTTCTATTGGAAATCATCCCTGGCCAGTGCTGAACATCACATTTGGGCCTGGGAGTTGCTCAGGGCAGCACTGGTTGGCTCACCTTCAGCAGAGCCAGGACCCTGTCTGGAGTTCCCATACGTGGAGCAGCTCCGTGGCACTGCTTGTTTGAGGCTACATCAACGCTTGCACTTGAATAGCTCCAGGTCTCACTGTTGGGAATAACACTGCCCATTCTGCAGCGATCCTCTGGGGATCTTTAGTGAGGCTGCAGGTAGCAGGATGATCTGCTAAAGCTGTCCCAAGTATATATCTGAGCCCTCCAGAGGCAGGTGAATGTTGGCTAGATCCCAGAAGCAGCAATTAGATTACTGGGGACAGCACAGGACTTCCCAAACCACACAAGCCATTCTATTTCTCACTACCTTTTGTCAAATAAACACTGTGAAAGCAGACTCCAAGCAGTTACTGCAGCACACCCTATTTACTGGAGCCTCATAATTTGGAACATCTGGGCTTTCAGTTTCAGCGTGATATACTGGTCCACATTTCCTTGAAATTCTGCCTCTGAGAATCAACCTTGCCTTATGAATCAACCCCGCAACACCAGTGAGCACTGAAATCATTAGACTTCAAGGGCACCGTAACGTCCAAGAGACACAACTGCAGTCATAGTGGCTGGAAGGCATGGCTACATCTATTATTCTTCAGCAAAGGTGTAAGTAAGCACCACTAACCTCAGTACTGCTTTGTGTTTTTAGATAACTGCATCTATATAGGGACCTTTTGAGGCTTGAGTGCAGTTCTGAAAGTGGGAGGGCTTTGGCATCTTTATATTTTTTTAATGTCCTGTGCAAATTCTGTAGGCCTCTTCCCAAAGTGCTTCTCATATATGTATACAGAAAGCTTCATGTTCCTGCTACCTAGGTGGGCACTTAACCAAGGCAGCTACCTTCAGTTGCGCGATCACATCAGGCTCCCTCAATAGGCAAAAACAGACAAAAAAAAGATATCTCTAGAATACAGTTCAGACCTTAAGAGGCTTCTTAATAAAGCACTACTATCATGCCTACTGTTAAAAAGAGACATAGGCCAAAAAATTGCATCTGTCTTCTGCAATCTTCTGGGAGTTTAAATCAGGCGAACTTTCAGGCCCCTTCCAATGTAAGCCATGTTCTGACTCTGACAGAATGATGGATCAAAGCATGTGTCAGGCAGTGAGCTGTCACCAGTGACACCAGTGACTGTTACAACTACGGGCGCTCAGACTTTCTGGAGCAGACCAACATTTCATGGGACCACAGCTTTTGGGATCACTTATTAAGCATGAAGGCCTTCCACTGGATTCATCTGTAGCTCAGAAGAAATGAGCAAAACGTATCACGGTCCTGCACTGTGTGTTCTATGAACCATCTTCATCAGTCTGCTCATTAACATTCTGAGAGTGTTCTGCAGAGTGAAAAGGCTTGGTTACCAGACTCAAGCATTGCTGAGGCTTAGAGTTCTGAATCATCAAAGAAAGGTAGAAAGTGCATTGGCATCTCTATGCAAGGCTGATCCTCGCGTATTTTAAACTTTGTTATTAATGCAGTGGGTTTGATTAAGGTTTGCCCAGTGGCAAAGTGTTGCTGCCAGATTACTATTTTGCCCTGCAAAATGGGAAAACGCCTGAAAAAACTGGGAAATGTTTTTAAGCAACTTCCCCTGCTCTCTTTCTCAGGAAAATCACTTACTCTGTACACACACACGTACTCTTTCTTTTCTAGCATAGCTGTAATTAGCAAAGAATGCCAAGCCATAAATATTTATGCACAGATGGGATCCTGAAGTACTTTCAGAAGTTCAGTCTGGCCTCAATAGTCAGATTTCTCAAGTGAGCTTTCATACAAAACCCCCAGGTTTACGAGGACTTGTCAGAACACCCTGTTAATCACTCCTGCTTCACAGAGATGTGCTTCTCACCTAACGGGGAATGTTCCAATCACTCAGAAAGCCCCACAGTAAATGCAGGTGCTACATTACCAACTTTTCATTTGAATTCCTCATAGGTTCTGCCAGATCTCTTTACTTAGCACAGGTCTCTGCATGCTGAGGCAAAAAGTATTCTCCTCTGCAGCTTAGTTTTTAAATATTTCTTCTGTTGTTTCAAATTTTTTTCTGAAATCAGTTATGTTTTACTTTCCTATGTAAACACCTTTTTTTCCCCAAAAAATTTTGCTGGTGTGATGGTAGCACCATGTCACTAATGTAACCAAAAGGGCTGAAATCTCAAATCCAGGCTAACAACTTACAGTCTTTCCTCTGGATGAAATCTGGTGGCACAGTTTGGTCACTGCAAGACTCTATCTGCCTCCAGGATGACGTGTCTGCTGCCAGAGCACCCGAGGGGAGCAGTGTCCACATCATGCTGACTGCCCTAGCAGGGCCAGGAATTGGCCAAGGTGTCAGTTGTCCCTGTCTAAAATCACACTGACCTCACTGCACTGCAGCAGGCATGATTGCTCTCCTAGTACCCACTGGCCTCATTTAATTTAAACACAGCTAATGAGAAAAGCAAAGAAAAGGTTAATATTTTCGAGACTGATCTGGAAGCAATTAAAAGCTAGATTATGATATGGCGTGGTGAGTGTGGCACTGACTTATGGCCCTAACTGCTCACTTTAGGCGCCTGAATAAAAATCTTCATCCACTCAGGCTGTCCCTGTGCTGCTGTGGGCAGAAATAGAGGGAATGAGTCCCACTAGCTTAGAGAAGATCGTAGAGTCACAGAATGGTTTGGGTTGGATGGGACTTCCAAGTCTATCCAATCCAACACCTGCTGTGGGCTGGCTGCCCCTCACCACATCAGGCTGTCCAGGTGTTCCATGGCCTTGGGTACCTTCAGGGATGAGGTATCTACAGCTTGTCTGGGCAGCAGTGACTGAGTCTGGAACCAGATAGGAGCTGCAGCAGCCCCTTCATTGCCAGCAGTATTGCAGGGCAGCATGAGCTAACTCTTGGCAAAAGACCTCCACTGGCACCTGCAAAAACAATCTTCACTGCAGGCTGCTGGGAAGAGAGGAAGAGACAGAGCAGCACCAAGAGCAATGCAGCAAATGAGGGGGAGAGGGGAAATGCTCTGCACCCAGGCATTATGTTACACTGAAAATAAAGGTGGAAGGGAACAAAAAGTATCAAAAGTTCTTGCTGGCAAGGACTAAGCACAAAATTGTTTTTGTCTCACCAGGAAAAAAGCAGATCTGATGGAGAGATACTCACTTGGCCTGCACTTATACCACACGAGGAGGTATTTGGCTGTTTCAGGGCACGGATCTACGCCAAACAGCCGGCTGCTGACAAGGAACCGGCAGCTCCGTCTGTCCTGGCACTCATCCAGCATCTTCTGCAGCGGGGGATGCACAAACATGGAACAGAAAACGAAAGCACTTCAGTACCTCCCTAAGGAACCATAAATACAGGCAAGTTGAAGGACAGACAGCATGGCAGTTCCTGCCTCCTTAGCCACCTCAGCAATGACCATATGACCAGCTGAAAGCAATGGGTGCTGATGGAGCTACGCAGCGAAGCAGATAACTAAAATTTGCACTATTTCAGTGAGCACGTTTTCCTTTCATGCATGCAAAGAGAATGCATTGGACTGCTGGCAGAGACTTTGGAAGACTCATACAGTTTAATCATAGCATCAGGTAGCACCAGCAGTGTGTCTCAGGAAAAGCAATGTGGAGGAGATGGATCAGCCCTGTTAACAGCAGCCCCAAACACTGCCCACACCATTCTGCTTCAGCTTCCTCTGCAGATTCAGTTTCAACCACAGGTTTCAGAAAAGCTCTCTTACTGGTAAGGGAACGTTTTGGCAATAGCTGGTGTTCCAATAATTAGTCCTTGTGGTGGGAATGCTGATACTTCAGTAAGTTGTCTAAGCACACTCTCCTCCCTGTGACTTTCGCTTTCCTTTTAGCTAAACTCACCATGGGTCTGTGAGTCACAGGGTCCTCCTACCACTGGTATTTTGGGCCTTATCTCCATTTTTTCACACTACTTTTCCTCCAACACTGGCTTCCCACCTCCCCATTCATAACACTCACAAAACTGTCTCAGAATCCACAGGGATGAGGCATTCTGTCTCCTGCTAGAAAGTAACTTCATTAAGGAAGATTAATGATTTTTTTTTTCTAACCATATGATTCTTCAGAGCAGAAGTGGGGCAGAGGGAATATTATTAAGTGGAGCAGTAATTACATTTTAAATCCAGCTGGATGGCTTAGATATCCTCCTTTAGAGCCCCCAAAGCACCAACACTAACATAATGTTTGTCTGACACACATGAACCTGTGTGAAAGCGTTTTGAGACCGCAGAGCGAGGCAATCCCACAACCTTGCTCAGCCTCTGCCATTCAGAGCTATGAATTCCAGTCTCAAAACAATTTCCTCTTGCAAGGAGTTGCTAGAAAATCTTCTCCCAGAAGCTCTCCCAGGTTCCCCTCAATTTCATTTTCTTGTACCTACCCTGATATTGGACTTTCCCACAGTCTCATCTCTATGCTATTACCTAAAGGCCACAGCATGCCTCCTAAACCCATTTTGTCTCTGCCTCAACGGTTCTCTATTTTTGAGCTCTCCCTGAACATAGTATCTATTATCTTCAGCATTATAACTCTGAACATCATCCTTTAAACAACAGCAATTTCTGCTCCAGTTTCTGTTCAGTCTGGGAGCACCTCACTGACAGTTGCACACAGCTTCCTAAAGTCTTCACCTTTCAGGCTCATACATGCAAGAATTTGTGCCCACACAATCTTTGTTTTAAACTTTAATCCATGACTATTCAAGCCTTTTCTAGAGAACAGAGAGCACGTGCTGCTGTTGTTTTGCACTCATGAAGGTAATAAAACGCAGGCATCTCATCTCAAAAAACAGGGCTTAGGATGGAAAGGATTAAAGATGAACAGTATGAAAGGGCCTGCAAGCACTACCCCTAGCTTGACCAGTATGTTAAAATGCACAGAAACAGCATATTCCTTTTTCTGGACTCCCAGGGTTAACAGCTAACTAAGCATATGAAATTTAATTTAACGCTAAGTCCAAAGAATTGCAAAGGAATTCAAGTCAGACCTCTATGCAGATACCTCTTGTGATCTCACAAGGCAAGGAACAGCTGGAACAACTCTTGAGAGCTTCATACATGGTAAGAGACCTTCTCCAAATCATAGTGGACCTGAAAAGATTTTCTACTACTGCTCAACCACGACTTTACACCTACACAGTGCCACAGATACGCAGCTAAAGGAAATTAGGAACACCGTGAAAGTTTTCTTTCCCACAAGGGAGTTTTGTCTCCTCAAAGGCAGCACTCTGCTTTTTGGTCAGCAAACCTTTCCATACCACAACGGGTAGAATTTTCACCACTGCTTATTAGGGGCTTGGTGTTGTGCAATAGGTGCCACTAAAACCAGTGGGAAAAGCACAGTGGATTTAGAGACCAACAAGAAGCTGCTTTGGAAGTTTTTGCTTCAACAAGCAACACATGTTCATCTGTCCTTAGATGCAGAACCAAGAACAAAGGTGATTGCTTCACAACCTCAGGCTCCACAAATTGCCACTTCAGAACCACAGAATCGTAATTTAGGTCAGAAAACTTTGTCATGCCCTGCTCTGATCTGTGGTAACTCTTCCTCACTATTTCCCATGTAAGAGGAACATCCTGAACTTCTTTTCAGTGGTACTGAGAGTAACAGCCCTAAGGAGAAATTTATACCTAAATGAAGGAGCAAAAGTCATCCATGCCATTGTGAGAGCGCAGAAAATGAGAAATGTTATTTAGGCTGAATGCACCTTCTATTAATGACTCTTCTGACTGGCTTCATCGTTCATCTACAGTTTCAACTGTATAACTGGATAACTGCCATAATTCTGCAGAGTTACTCCGTAGGGAGTAGAAATCAATACTTCCTTTTCATTCACATAATTCTGATGCACCATCCCCAGGTTCTTGAAAAAAAATTATCAAAAAATCATTAAGATTTCTGACTTCCTGCAGACTGTTTGGGTAAAGCCTTGGATAAAATTAAATAAATCCACAAAGTGTAAAATGAAAAATCAGCAAACAAGTTGTGCCAGACCTAACATCAATTTAAAACCTGGTGCATACAATTTTCACCTATCCTGACGTGCACAGAAAATGTATTCCCCATTACTATCAGCAGTATGCACAATGCTTAAACTCTGCAGAGACCCTGCAAAACACACACCAAGGGTGAAAAACATAGCAGGTCACAGACCAAGACCACAGCTTTCTGTTCTTGCTCTTAAAAATTACAATTCTAGGCAAGATCTGAGCTTCAGTGGATGCCAGATCACAGAACAGCCTGGGTTGGAAGGGACCTCAAGGATCACGAAGCTCCAACCCCCCTGTGCCATGCAGGGCCACCAACTGCTGAGTTGATATTTGTACGTGTAAGTCAGGCTGTTTTATTCCATGCAAGGTAAGAGGATTTCAGATTTGCTCTCCAGGATCACAGGAATTGTTCCACATTTCACAGCATCCCAGGCTGCCCAGGGCCCCATCCAACCTGGCCTTGAACACCTCCAGGGATGGACGGGGCATCACAGCCTCTCTGGGCAGCTGTTCCAGCACCTCACCACTCTCACAGCACACAACTTCCCCCTGACATCCAACCTCCATCTGCCCTCCCTCAACTCCAAACCATTTCCCCTTGTCCTGCTGCCATCTCCCCTTTCACAGAGCTGACTCCCCTCCTGTCTGCAGGCTCCCTTTAGGTACTGCAGGCTGCACTGAGGTCACCCCACAGCTTCTCTTCTCCATGCTGAACAAGCCCAGCTCCCTCAGCCTGTCTTTGTAGTGGAGGTGCTGCAGCCCCCTGCTCATCTCTGTGGCTCTTCTGGACCCTCTCCAACAGCTCCCTGTCTTTCTTGTACTGAAGCCCCCAGCCCTGGACGCAGTGCTGCAGATGGGGCCTCACGAGAGCAGAGCAGAGAGTGACAATCACCTCCCTGTCCCTGCTGGCCACCCCTCTGCTGATGGAGCCCAGGACACCATTTGCCTTCCAAGTCACAAGAGCACACTGCTGGCTCATGTTCAGTTTTTCACACCCAGGACCCCCAGGTCCTTCTCTGCAGGGCTAAATGCGAACATTTCTGAATTTGGAGATGATCAGCTAGACTGACCCCAGGAAGGCTGTGAGTTTTCTTGATGATGTGAGAGTATCCTAAACTCACAAGCATTTGATGAATGGCTGAAAAATTCAGGCATTCTATTCTTTTCTCTCTGTCATTTGTAAAGATAGAAATACACAATCAGAAAAAAAAAATATGCCCATGAGCAAAATGAATTTGCATAGAAATAGTTTTAGAAACACAAAATGGCTCCCAACCTGTACACATAATGAGCTGTTTATGCTAAAGTCAGCTAGCAGACTCCTGAGTAACACAAAATGAAGTCATGTAGGATACATTATGTAAAAAAAACCAGTCACTCCAACAAAAGAAGGTGGAGGAGAAATTCCTGTCTGGCATGAAAGACATGGGAGGACACTTTCATTGTGTTGTGCCATTTTATGATAGTTTTTCATTGGTAAATCAAGCCTGAGGGCTGACAGCCAGTGATCAGGAGGGAAGCTGTAGCTGCTTAAAGCCGTTCCATTCCGAGGTCCATGACTGAGCTAAGAGGCTGCAAGATTTGGAGGAGATAACAGAGAAAGAAATGTGAACTCAAGTAAAACAACCACTAATCTAATCCCTGTGATTTACGCCCTGGATTAATCTCACTGCAGTGACCCAGGTCCTAAAGCAAGGGCAGTCTCGAGCTCAAAACCATGTCTTGGAAGAGGACACTCCAGGTGAAACACATTTCTTGTGCTCGTTTTGCTGAGCTTGTTAACATAGTAATTGCTTGTGGTCATTAGTTATCAACTGTTTAATCTGGAACTGAATGGGAGCTCTGAAACAAGGCTGTCCTCAGCTATTCCCAAGGATGCACTCATCTTTATTTTATCTCTTCAAATCACTCTTGAAGAAATACTTCTGCTCATGCTTAAAATAGACCACAACTGAGCTTAATACCCAAGGTAATTAAATTTATCTTAGCTCTTAGTACCTTGCAGTAGCTCACAGATTTAAAACATTCGGGGTGAAACCCTAAACCATAGAAGCCAATGATGATATTCCATGGGAGCTGGGATTCTGACATACAACTTCTCTCTGCGCAGCCTCTGTCATCAAAGGAACATAAGGATGACTTCAGGTCACATCAGTTCAGGCATGAAATTGCACAGAGGAGCCCCGCTAAATGATTTCCAAATTGTATGCTGCAGAAGATAAGAATTCAGGGTGTGAGCTTACGAATGGATCAGAGCTGCGTGCCAGATGAAGATGGGCACAGGTTGGTACTAAGAATTTTACACAAGAAGATAACAATAATTAAAATATAATCAATCATTTCTAGGTCACACTCAGCCCAAGCACTGCCACTATGGTAGAATTAAACCAACACATAGGTTGGTATTCTTCCATGAGCTTTGCAATGAGAAGTAAATAGAACAAACAAGGCAGCATTAATTCTCTCCACGCTGACACACAGCACAATGGCTTCATAATGGCTTTATGTCACGTTTTATTTGAATTTTAACACTCTTTTATATATCTCAGATTGTGTTACCCTAACACACTGTAGACTTAATACTTTAATGCTGCAATCTTATTTCGAGAGCCTTCTGCCAGTTATGTGCAGATTGCACGTTAATGCAGCAAGAAGATGTTTGAAGGATCAGCAACAGGGAAGGAAAGAGTACAGGAGGAACTGGACTCTGTACTGCTGAGATGCAGGTCACTTGTCTATGGTATTATCAAGAAACCTTCCCAGTCTGCTCCTCAGGAAAGTAATTCAGTTTTGCCCAAAGCGCCGTATCCAAACTGCTCATTAAATTAAGAAGAGCACAGAGGCCCTGGATTTGACCACTGATCTATGGCATGTTTTAGTGCTCCACTAGCACTCCTTATTACTCCCCCATGGACTTTCTGATGCTCACCATGGAGTTAGCAGAAGGAAACTATACCCACATAACTGGTGACATACACCAACAAACCAGACTGAAGAATAGCTGAAAATTGGGCATGCATGAGCTCTGCTATGGAAGTAAATTCCAGCAAGGTGAGTAGTGCAGGCAGCAGTGGTACTAAAATGCTAAAAAACACCACCAAGATTTTCCAGAGCTCCTCTGCAAGAACCTTAAAAGAGCCCGGAGACAGTAATGTGCAAAGAACTGCACTATGTTCAGTAACTAGAGCTAGTAAAAAACGCTGCCTAATTAACCATTACCTGCATTTCCTAACAGTGGGAAACCTAATCCGTGTGGAGGGCTGACTTCAAAGGGCAAGGAAGGCTAAGCTAAAGAAATACAAAAGGATACATAACTGAAAGTCATGGGATTAAGGAAAGGGAAAGCATAAAACAGAGTGGAGAAAAATCACTGAGAGCAAACCATTACACTGTCAAGCAGAGTCTTGGAAGCAGTGACAGAAGCCCCATGACTTGGAAAGTTTAAATTCACAGTAAACAAAGCTTTAGGAGGCTTACAACTCAGGGAGCAGTCCTGCCTCTTCAGGGAGACAGGAGCCTCTGCCTGTCACACCTCCCCTTCCACTGCACTTCAAAATGCTCTGATAAACTATTTCAGCCAAGGAAAGACGTCAAAGATACAATGTAGAGATATCTGTGATCTCTGCATCAAACAGATCTTCAATTTGCAAATGGTTAACTGGGAGACGATTGCCAGAGAGCTGCATTTCAGGCAGTGCACAGCTCATGAATGAAGTGCACAGGTTCCATAGCTTTTTATAGGAGCAGTTTTGGCACTGCAGTAACCTCCTGTGCACCCTCAACTCACTGCTCACGAGCACCTGCAAAACAAACAGCACAGTTTGATGAAGAGTTGCCCAAATTCTGCTCTTGAATTCACTGGAGTCCCTGAAACTTTTCCTGCTCAAATTGTCTGTAAATCCTGGAAATGTGATGTGCAATGTGACAAGCCCTGAGCTCTCCCTGCTGTACTGACCACAGTGTGGTCTGGTGTAAATTCCTTTCTTCCTGTCATTTTTCCCTTTCTTTCCCTCCGACCATCATCATCTTACAGGTTGTTTGGAGACAAGGAAGGGCTCTTCCTTTGTGTCTTTATAATACCAGTACAGCAGGACCCCAGTTCCTGGTGAGGACACTTGGGGCTGTTACATCAGTGGCACTGTACAACATCCCGAGACTGGGCACGACAAATAACCACTACCCTTCCCAAAAAGTCACAGTAATTGAATCATTTTCTTCTCCTTTCTATTTTACTTTACCACACTACTAAGCCACACTTACACACAACTACGATGCTTGGAGAAAATAAAACCCTCCATAGCACACAGACACCTCTAGCTCCATCGCCTTCTGACCAACTCTCAGCTCATGATTTGGAAGTCTTGCAGCTAATGAACAGTTTACCTAATATTTTAAGCACCAAAGAGGTCAGCTTTCCTCTGCTTTCTATCACATAAATCTTCCTATCCTTTTAAAAAAAGGGGAGGAAGTGCTGAGGGTGTCCTGTGGTTAGCATGCAAGGAATCTGCTGCTCCCTTTTGCAGGGCTGCTTCATAAACTGCTGAAGTGCCTGTGGGAGAAGGTGACAGCAGAGCTGTGTCACGTATCTCACTTCAGGCACATCCCAGCTATTTCCAGCGTACAGAGAAGGTACAGAAGAAACAATTCCAGACCAGACTGTCTAATGACGCGTCAGAGCACAATATTTGCTCCTCATATGAAAGGGTGAGTGGGCAATTTCTACACCCTCAGCTTTAAATCATCTTCTTGAATACAGCACAAATCTCTCTTACTTCCTACAACACATCTCAAGTGTCTTGTGCTAATTTTAGGTTCCCCTGTTAAACAGAGTGGAATAGGAGGCTGTTCACAAAACAAATATCTGGCTTTCAACACAACTTGATTTTTGTTTTTCTGATATCTCCATACATGCAGTTTGGGGTCACTGCCTTCACACCTTGGACACATTCTCCTAAATGGAATGCATTTCATTTCAAATAAAAGCGTGATTAAGGAAAGCATCCAGGCCACTCGTCACATAAGACTGGACTAGCTTTGGTTGCCTCAGTGTAATCAACACCTTTTTTCAACTTTCCATTGTTTCTATGTCTGAACTGGATATTTATAGGACAGAGAAGCAACCATTATGCACAAGTATGCACAGGTAGTGTTCAGGGAGAATGGTATTAGTACCTGTCTCTTACACTCCCTCCAGGCCAATCTCAAGATAAGAGCATGTACAGTATAGTAATAGTATGTAGTCATGGGCTTGATTAGACACAGTGATTTTGCATACTTAATTTGGCAAGGTTTGGTTTAGCTGGCTTTTTAAATTAGCACCAATCAGAATACAAACCTAACTTTCCTGTCTATAGCAACCAACATAACCAAGAATAAACATAATAAATCCAATTTTATTGTCTAGTTTTCTTTTCTATGTCCAATTTTCTTACATATGTGCATTTCCACCACGTAGACGCAGGCACCCTGCTATTCAGCTTGTGGAGAGCCTAGTTTACCCTTCAGAGAGGCATCAGCCCTTCCAGGTCTGAGAAAGATGATGAGATCCAGCTCTCATTTACACTATCTAAAGATTTCATCTCCCTTGCTCTCAAATTCTTCCAGTTGCTTTGAGTGGGCCACTCACTCAGAGGAGATGAGCTTATATGCACTGGTATCAATGATGTTTCAAGTAAATGTAATCATGAAAAGAAACAAAAAAGGGAAGGCAGACTCTGCTAAAGCCTTCAGTCAGAAAAAATCCTGGATGAAAGAATGAGAAGTGATGGGGGCAACACTGGCCTTTATGCAAGTTATAAATGAAATTATTCACTAGCTCTGTGGGTTCATTAATCTAGCTCTAAGCTTTACTACAAGTTACTACTGGTTCATAGCTATAAACACACAGCATGCTAAAGAAAAGTCTCTGGCCTTGGATTTTCAGTCTCAAAGTGTGCACGTAGAAAGAAGTGGGCTTTCTTTTGCACTGGGGAGCAGATCACTCATCACAGATCAGCCCAGTAATGTTTCTAATTTTTGTTGCTCTTACTGACAGCTGATTAACAATGGCACCTTCCATATAATCCTCTGATTTGCTCAAGTTACACGTGCATACAGTCAGCATTCCCTACAGAAATGAACAGAGGTGGTTAACTGGGAGATAACAAGATCAAGTGATGTATTATCACTTACAGCGGCCTAAGAGCCAAATGAGTCAGGCACAGAACTCAAGGATTGCCTCTGGATTTCATGTTACTGAAGTAAAAGCCTCGAGACAGGATCATTTCTGAAGCAAGAAGCCAGAGAAACCAGAAACAGCAGAGAAACTCCTAAATGTGTTGAAAAAGCTATCGGGAAGGAAGAGCATGAAGAAGTCTTGAAACACAGTCCAAACACAATCTGGTCTTCCAGAATACTCCTTTTTAATCATATGCCTGAACTATTATTGATAGAACCATAAGAAAACTAAATGCCTGGTCTAGGAAAAGAACTCCAGAATGAGCAGATCCAGTTTAGCACGAAATACCTGAAGTGAAGTGCCAACTGAACAGGCAACATCTTCCTTAATTAAAGTCGCGTGGGAGCGGGGAGAGCGAGAAGGACACATCTGGTGACTTGGTACAATTCTGCCATAGAAAGAAGACTGGATGCTGATGGTGGTTCTGTGAGGACATCTCAGGGAGACATATTCTCCATCACAGGCATGGTCGGTGTAATTCTTTAATACTTGTGATATGTAACCTGCAAAAAAACATGACACAAACCATCATTAGTGACAGGTAAGTTAATAATTAAGTTAATTATTAGTAAACTAGTGCAGTTTAACAGACACAACTAAAACAGTGAGGGCCATAGATTTTATTACTCATCATCACATACAGGAAAGAAGATAGACACTGACAGAGTCTGAGAGAGAGAGGTTGAGCAGTTCGTCCTTCAGCAGTGTTATATGTCCTTAAATCTGAAGCATCTCTATATTGCTTCCTCTTAGTACACTCGTACCACTTGCACTGGTACAAATACCAAGACTACAGGAAATGCAGCTGAGCCAGACTCATCATTTACACTGTATCTCGATAGTACAGGCAACTTTTGGTCCACCAGTACCAGACAGCCATTGATAAATTGGAGTGAGCGCAGCCATGGGTCACTGAGATGTACAGGAGCTGGAACACTTGACCTGCTGGAAAAAGGCAGCTTTTGGGGAAAATAAAAGCAGCCTGACAGTGTGTATAGGGAGGTTATCAAGGAGGTGGAGTTAAACCCTCCACAGGAGCACATGCTGGAAGAACATCAGGCATGAACTGCAATGAGTATTTCAGACTATGTATATGGAGTAGCTTTTCACAGCGAGGGCAGTCAGTCAGTGGAACGGGGTACCCAGAGAGGTCCCACAGTCTCTGTTACTTCAGGATCTCCATGAATAAAGCTTTGAGTAACCTGATCTGATCTCTTAGTTGATCCTGCTTTGAGTAGGAGGTTGGACTAGATAACAACAGTCCCTTCCCACCCCAGCTTTCCTGTAACCCTGCAACAGTAACAGGTAAGAAAGACCCAGACTCAGAGCTGCTAAGGGGTAAATCTGGTGCAAGTACTTATAGTTTGTTGGATGAGAACATCATGGCACACCAATTATACCTTAGATCTCCCTTCACAACGTACTATTTCCTTCTCGTTTTTACCAAGTTTCAATAAAGTTAGAAGAAAAACCATATGCAGAAATCAAATCTCTTCTGTCTGTTACAAGACGGCGTTATTCATAATAATAAAGTTGTTAAAAAGAACAAAGCGTGACAAAACCTCATTAAAGTTATGCTGAGCTAAACAGGATTGATTGCAGTCAGGTTTCCATGGTGTAACATAATGGAAAGCACAACAGTGTCAGCTGAGTAGCAAGGCCCTAGACTGCAGCAAGTGAGGACTTGCTCAAATGCATCAGCAGTGGGCACAGAAGCAAAAGAAAGAAGCTGCTTACCTTCAGAAGGCCTCAGGAATGCAGGCATCTCCAGAGATATGTGTGACACCACTGCCAACCCTTAAATGAGGGCTGGGAAGGGATGGATCCTGTCTCCAGCCCTTCTGGTCACTCAGTACACTGCATGCAGCTGAGCTCCCCTGGGCTGGCCTTGCTTTCCCACCTGGTGCTCCATCACTGTTTCAAGCTGTGCCTTTTAGCATTTCCACCATACATGGCAACAGCCCCAAACCTTGCCACACTCAAGCCTGAGGAGGAATCACGGTGGTGCTGATACAGAGATGTTCGCTCAGGGAACTCTACAGCCTGTGCAAGAGCAGCAGCAGCCATGGGTCTGTTCTGCAGACTTCTTACTCTCTGCAGTGACTTCAGAAGTCCCCTTCCCAACCCTGGCCAACAGAAGCCTGTCAGTAGCAATCCCACAATATCCTGTCTCTGTCTTCCTGTACTTCTTTCTCTAGAAGTAGAATAGAGAGGAAAAACAACACCCAGACAAATTTCTAAAAGGAAACCTGACATGTATCTTACAATTGCATTTTTAAAAAAATAGCAGAAATGTGATCATCCTCTCAGTTGGCCATAACCATGAAATAAATTGGACTGGTACCTCTGTAAGCTATCCAGTACTATCTTTTGCTTAAAACAGGGGTGCTTCACATCAGCTTGCTCAGAATCTAGTCCAGTGAAGTTCTGAGTATTTCCACAGGACCTTCAGAACTTCTCTGGGCAATCTGTGCCAATGCTTAACAGCAATTAAGTTCAAGAACAGCCGTTACTGATTCTTTGTTGCCTCTGGCTCTACCACGGTGCATTTCAGAGAAAAGTTTCTGGTTTCACTTCATCTGTAAGCAAACAGCAACTGGATCCCACTTTCCTTATTCTTTAGTTGCACTCACTGTTGCAAGGTGCACTGCTTACTCACGTCCATCAGCATGTTCTCCAAGACCATTGTGATAATTTACACAAGGAAGCACAAACTGTGGTTTGAGAAAATCCACGTGGCTTCCTGAGAATCATTTCAATGTCAAATTGAGCTGTATATGCATCTGAAGGCTATCTTTAGTCACTAAATAAATTTTACCCAGGGCCTCTTCTCTGGCCCCAAGTCTATGACCAACAATTTCCTCTTACATTCTAAAATAGTACATTCTCATCTAGATCTTTGACTAGGAATAGTTCTTTATCCACACTAACACTGAAATCTTGCACAGGAGATGTGTGAACGCATGTTCTGGGTGATGCTATAACACATAATCAGATCAGCTCTCCCTCAAAAGCGAGGCAACCCTACAAGATGGACAGGAAAAGTAAACAGCAAACAAAAACAGAATATGACATGAAATAGTAACCCTCATTTTCCATGCTGATCCTCCATTGCATTAGGACTTCTCCCTAAATCTGACCCATTAGGGAGGGAAAGAACTATAGCCAAAGCACAGTGAAGACAGCACTGGCTCCTCCAAATACTCAATTATTCTGTCAGAGCAGCTGTTCTGCAGCATGCCTTTCACAGCACCAATTCACCATCAGGTAAGGTTTCCATCCCTGCAATTAGTGCTGATCACTTGTTGAAATAGTTCCTTCTCTCCTTTACTATCATCAGTCTTGTAATACCGTGAGTTTGTTCAAGCTGAAGGTATTGAAGTGCTCAAAGGCTTTGATGGTGACTGGCCAATAATGAACAAAGCACAGCGCCTGAAACATCTGGCACTGACCACAGTTAGGAAACACTGAATTAGGCACTGACATGATCAGGAAAGACATAATGTTCTCCAAAAAGCAAAAGGACTGGGCTGCAGAGAATCAATGTTTTTTCTTCAAATGTGCCACATCTGCACTGCATTCGCTGGCAGTTCTTCTGAAAATGCTGACACTTCTATACCCACTGATTCATGTTTCAGTAAACCAAAACCCAAATTGTTTTCAGCATTCCTGCTGGGTTTTAGGTGACAAGTTTCCAGTGACCTCTTGTACCACTACGTGCGGCACAAGCAAGAGAACCACAGGGAGGCTCTTCACTAAATGAAGTGTATGAACATGGAGCCGGAGGCAGTGATTGAGGACTTCAATGGCTCTTATATACCAAAGTGAGAAGCAATTCATAAATAATAAATACAAAAGGAATAGCTTACAGGCCTCTGACTGTTTCCTGGCAAACGTGAAAATGCCTCTTCTGGGTGGCTGCAAGAAATCATTGGTGTACAAGTAATACATTGGTGTAGACAGTAAAACTGCATAGCAGATCAGCTATTCATAGATCACAGAGGATGACAGTCAAGATATCAAGATTAAAAAAGTATTGTGAAATGCTGCTATTGTCCTCCATCAGGTATGTTTATCTGCTTTGCTTTCCGAGGTATCAGCCATAGACTTGCAAGAGCTCAAGTTCTCTTACACTTACGAGTGTGAGAGAAGGCTTTTAAAAGCCAAATCCATTCATCAGCCTCAGATTCTAGGATTTAAATCAGCATTGTTGGATCCAGGAAGGCAAGCAGTTATTTAAGGAAGACATCACAGTTGCACGGCCACAGTAAAATCTATTCTGTGTTGTCATGGTTCACATTGGAGGAATAGTGACGTTGATTTTCACAGAATCATAGGATCACAGAGCTATAGAATGGTTGGGGTTGGAATGGACCTTTAAGATCACCCAGTTCCAGCCCCTGCTGTAGGCAGGGACACCTCTCTCTATCACAGCTGCTCACAGCCCCATCCAGGCTGGCCTTGAGTGCTTCCATGGAGGGGCATCCACAGCCTCACTGGGCAACCTGCACCAGGGTCTCATCACCCTCACACACAGTACATTCTAACTAGAGAGAAAGGGTTCACATCACAGAGCCCACAAAGCTCTTCCAAATCAAATTACAACTTGTTTAATTAACGGACAAGACACTCTCCTCTAGATGGTTTGTGTACAAGGGACTTCTAACAGCAGAGCTGTAGTGGAACATCAATAGGCTGCCAGGAAAACACACAAAAAACTTTCCACAGTAAACACACTTACAGGGGATACACCTTGCATATAACCACCAATGCATCTTCACTGCTAAACCTTCTTATCTAGACAAGTTCCACTTATATTTATTTTCATTGCAATTCCACAATAAAATTCATTTCACTCCTTTCTATGAAAATTCTTACAGAAAACAAATTCACAGAAATCAAAATTACAAATCTGACATGCAAATAGAAAGACACCAACTAAGTAAACAAACCCAAAGCTTGATGTCCTTTGGCAGCACTGACTGCAGCTAAGTTTAAGAGTCTAAACAGGACCTATACCCACACTCAGCCTCCTCCCCAGGCAAGCTAATTCTCAACCCTCCTACAAGCACCATTGGGTCATACAGCAATAGACAGACAGCCCTTTTGTGCCTTCTGGTCCAGTCACTAAAATCGCTGAAATGAAATTTGTGCAGTTTTTCAAGGGCCAGGGATCTGCTTATTCATGTGTTGATAAAGCGATTACCCAAAGCAGTGCTTATATAACAGGGGATGGAGTCAGGCAGGCACTGAATCCCTGCACCTCCCTCAGGACATATTCTGAGTTCACTGAATGTCTTGTCACTTATTCAACAGACCAGGAATGATTTACAGCAATCAACGTTTAAACCATCTCTACATTTACTAGTCCACCATTTGCACTTTGATGGTTTGTGTGGTCAATCTGCAAAGCATCACTGTCACTTCTACATTCCCAGAGAGAAGCACCTGTAAGACTCTGCAGTGCACCTCTCTCTCTCCATCAGGTTCCTTCTTAGACTTT